TTTTAGTGAATGCGGTCTTTTCTTACTGTATATCTAATTTAGATTTTAACTGTTACAAACTAAGTAGGTTTACTAGGTAAATCCAATAAAATTTCTTTTTCCTACATTTGGCAGCATAAAACAACATAAAACATCGTTATATCTATCGTATATTATTGTATCAAAGAATGGCTTGTTTTTGTTATTTTAGCATTGTAATGACTACAATATCAGTACATCTTGACTTACAAATTCAAGAATTCCATAATGGACATGAGTAAACAGAGGAAAGTGGATAAGAAGCATAGAAAATTTAAACAAGAATGGACTGAGCAATACTATTTTATAGTGAAACAGTATCTATGGCAAAGGAATATAACATTTGAAGGCATTATGAGACCAAGTATTGCAAATCTTTAGACAAGTTGACAGATACTAAAAAAAGGAATAAAACTTAGCAATTCAAAAAAGATCTTTTGTCTCAACAGAATGTGTTTAAGAGAGTAAACATTGTTAGTGAAGCCAGCAGAGAAACAAGTTTCTTCATAGCATGAGAAATTGCACATAAGTGTCAACTATTTACCAATGGTGATTTTGTTAAATCATGTATGTTAGTGGTCTGGGACAAGGTATGCCCCAAAAAAATAAATCAGTTTTTCAAAATAAGCTTGTCAAGAATGACAATACAGCATATAATTAGTGATATATTGCAAAACATAAATGATCAGTTTAAGGCAATTTGCTCACAATTTGAATATTATTTGATTGCATTAGCTGAGACTTGTGACATGAAAGATTATGCTAAGTCGTTGTTATATGTGCATGGAATAAACAAAGATTTTCATATCGCTCAGGAGCTTGCAGATATGCGCTCGATTTATGGGTGAGCCACCAGTGAGGAAATTTGCAAACAGATAACTTCAGCAATGCACGATTTGAAGCTACTGAGTGATAAATGTTCAGATGTGTGTACTGATGGTGCACCCGGCATGGTAGAAAACAATAAAGGTGCGAGTTCTCTGCTAAAAACGATTTCTGTCCCAGACATGTAATTAAGCAATATCATTGCATTATACACCAAATCTCTGTGTAGTACAGTTATTAATTTTAACCATGTTATGTCAGTTTCAATGATAAACTTTATTCAATACCAAAGCCTGAATCACCAGAAGTTTCAAGACTTCATGAGAGAGATTGATGTAGAATATGGTAATGTTCTATATCACACAAAAGAGCATTGGCTGAGTCGTGGCAATACCTTGCAATGTTTTGTAGTCATTAGGTCTGACATCAAAGAATTTTTAAGAGTGCAAAGGTAAAATTATACCAGAGTTGGAAAATAAAGAATAGTTGTGTGATTTAGGTTTTTTAGCTGATATAATGTACAATCTAAACTGTTTCAATAAAGTTCTACAAGACAAAGATCATCTGGTTATGGATATGTTTTCTGCAGTCGAGAGTTTTAGGCTTAAATTGCAACTACTTGTTTCACAACTAAGTAAAGGAGATTTGTCACACTTCCCAATTTGCAAATCATTGTTTTCTAAAAGCACACCTGAAAGAATGTTGAAGACTTCCAAATATGTTCCCTGTCTTGAAGAGTTACGGCTGGAGTTCAGTAGAAGATTTTCTGACCTACAGGCAGATGAGACTATGTCTGAAATTTTAGTTTATTCATTTTCCATTAATGCTGAAAATTATGATATCAGTTTTCAACTTGAGATAAAAGATTTACAATGTTCTACGGTCCTAAAAAGCAAACATTGAGAATGCTCTCCAATTGAATTCTACAAAGCACTTGACAAATCTAACTACAAATTCATACGAAAAGAGGCTTTCAAAGTAGCATCACTATTTAGGAGTACTTACATGTGTGAGGAAATTTTCCCTTATGAAGTTACACAAATCTTTACATCATAGAACTCAAACTAATCAAAATGTAACCAACATTTTGAAAACCGCAACTTCTGGGATTAATTCAGATATCTCTGGCATGGCAAAATCAAATGATGCAACGTTTTGTAAGTTGTAAGTGGAATACAGTTGCATAAAATAATATATTTAATGAGAGTTGTTTGTTCACATCTCATGATGTAGTCATTGTTTTTTTATCGACTACCATTCACTATTATTTACAGAATTGTTAAGTACACCCATTTTTGTCTGTTATTAAACCTAAGAGTTTCTGCATCACAATTTAATAGAAATTTTGTTAAATAGTCTTTAGAGTTAGTAGAAAATGCAAAGGGCTGAAACATTTTTTTGGAGGAAGGAATATCATGGCCCACCAAGTCTTAATCACATTCCAAATTGGCTGAGAGAAAAAAACAGTTCTGCTCACCTGGTTTAAATACGTGATTTTTAAGTTTCTGAATTGGAAAATATTTGGTAACCAACAACCTCATAGTAAAAAGACCCCCTTCCCAGCTCGTACGGTGAGCGTTAAAGAAAAGAAAGTTATTTAGTCAAAAAGTTAAATATTATAACTGGAAAACTGATTAATTGCTATAAAACACACACTATAAAAACAGTCTAGTTTATTTGTGGTGCCCACAGTTATTTTTTTATATTGTTATTAACAAAAGTTTTCCCAGTACTAATATTGGACATTACACATTTCTTCAAAGATACATATTGTCAAAATTTGTCTTTAATGCATCTAACTAGATAAAATACACAAATGTATTTTTTTTAATGTTTTGATCAGCTCAGTGAGAGGATTTTACACATGCAATATTCCTATGGATTTGAAATATGCACAAAACACAATATTTTTTACTTATCATGCAATATTAAATAGTAATACTTAAGAAAAATAATGTGTGTGTATATATATATATAAAAATACACACACACATTCATAAATATATATTAATTCAGTATTACAGTAACGTGAACAATAAAGCGATTGAAGTTTCTTGAACTCTGCATTGCAAAGCAATTACAATAATGTTCTTAATAATAATCATGATGTTAGAAAAACATAGGTTCAAGAAGTCTTGATAGAAATGAATAAAAATCCTATAACCCGAGTGTTTTCGAAAGGTAGACCTTTCTCCTTCAGGGGAAACTGGGAACATTCCCAGTTTGCCCTTGAAGAAGAAAGGTCCATCTTTGGAAAGCACTCAGATTATAGGATTTTTTATTCAGTTCTTAATAATAATACACTGTAGCTTTAATGATGACTTAAATTGCTACATTCGAGAACCTAGGCCATTATATTTGTATATATATATATCTAAACTTATATAAATTCTTTTAGACATGTTAAATATAATCATGAATATATGAAAGGTAACATTGTTTCAAAAAGTTAATTTTCATTAAAAAGTTGAGTTCAACTTGAACACATGAATACTTATACAATTATGAATTCAAGTAATAACTGCTTAGAGTTGGAAAAACGTGTACTTTTTAGTTTTAAAACAAGTATTTATCAGTTCTATGCAGCATTCAAAGGTTTTAAAATACAAACAGATGTCTCTACTACAGAAATATATTTTACCTGTAATCATATCAAAACACTAAAAGAAATAATGCAAAACAATATATCTTGAAAGATACTCAAATGAAAAGCCTTAAACATTTTTAGGCATAATTTACATACCAGCCTTAAGAGATATCTGAAATCAAAAGTAAGAAATAAAAACCATATTCTTCAGCCCTAGCTTGTGGTAGACAGTTGTAATTCTTGTGGTATAAAAGCAGTTCATGAAGTAACATTTCATTGTCAAATAAACTGTTCTCTGACTGAAAACTAACACAGATCACCTTCACTAAAAGATTTTTCAGAATACTGCTGTACTTGACATTTTATACATTCAAATCCTGATGATGTAGCTTAGCATTCAACTGTCAAGAATTTGCTAGTAGACAGAACAGGTACTGTATCATAGCCATAGTTGTTACAGAAACACATTATATTAAAATCAAAACAGTTTTAAATGCAATTTCAATTAATATATATATATATTTTAGAAAATATTAAGCTCAAATACTTTAAAAAAGAAAACTTTCCACTAAAATTAATTTGCTGTGTGCCCATTATGCAGTCTGCAAACAAAGAACATATTTCCTGATAGTTCTTGGGGATATTTAGGTGATTTACAGTTGTAAATCCATAAATAACTAACTTTTGAAAAATATTCTAATTTTTATCAAACATTATCCAGAATTGCAAATTTTGAATTTCACCAATTTTTTTAAAATAATATAAATAAATTGACACATTTTATGTTTTTTTTATTCCTTCAAATATCCAATTAGAGTAACTACAATATAGCAAAATTCTCCAGATATTTAGCTACAACTACAGGATAATGTAAGGGAATGCATGCTAAAACTATATTTAAAGTTATCTTTTACCAGTACTGATTCCAACTCTGAACTAAGTGTATGATTAAATTATATTCTTATTCAGCCTTTATTGTTTCTCCTCTTAACATTTATAAGAGTATCTTGAACTGCTAGAAAATTCTTTCACTACCAGAATGTAATTTTATTCTTCAGTAGGTAAGTTTATCTAATTATTTATGATTCTATTAAAATATAAGCTTCATGGTTTTTAAGAATAAAATAATTTTCTACTTTGGTGGTTAGGTTACGTTCATTAAGAGCAATATGAGGACTCAATTTAGTTGGGTTAAAGAAAGAAAAATCATGTTTCCAAAATATCAGATATATGACTATATATTCGTGTACATATTTAAGTAATTACTACTCAGTGTATTACGTCTACCACTGTCCAACAGGTTACTTTAACTCCATCATAACCAGGCATTTGGTATTCCCAGAAACCAAAGAAAAATTAGGAAATTTCATGAAATATCAAATAATTTATAATTAATTGTTTTATTCTGTATCTGAAAAATCTTATCAAGTTACACCCATATGGTCCCCAAGAAAAGAAATAGTAGGTATACCAAACATGTGATTACCATGAGATGTCTTAATATTAAGCATAAACATACTAGCTACTCACTAGTAGGTCCACTGCTGACAATACAAGATATAGTACTTACCTAAGAACTGGAAAGCTTTAGGAAAGAATGGCAGGAGTTTTTCACTGTAATTATCATTGACTGAGATCCTCATGAAATGTGTATCTTGGATAAAGTCTGGCTTAGGGCAGTTGGCACTGACATTCAACTCGTATGTGATGTTATGATTCTAGAAAAGTATTTAACATATTAGTATGACACTGGATATTGTGTTGACTTCAGTAGTGTGATTATAACTATACATGTAACACATTCCTTTCATAAATGCAGAAGACTGAAAATTTATCATAACAAAAATCATTTAAATATAGGCAAAAAATAAAATAAATTCAGCCAAACATGAAAAGTCAAATATTGTAAAGTTGAGGTCAGTTTCAGAATTTGACTCAAGGTACAAGTATCACAAGTGCTATTCACAGGCAATTAAAACTTCTCTTTTCCATGAACCACAATTATTTATATTTTCTTCTTTTGTCTTAATGTTTTAAGGATTTGCAAAATAGTGTGCTTTGTTTTGTAAATAGCTTCAACTTACTCTATTTTCAGTGTTATTCACCATTGCTTTATTACATTCAATTACATATAAATATGGCCATACAATGTTTCTACCCTTTACTTAAGTGATTCTTGGGCAGAACTCAAATGGAAACACACAAATACATCTGCTGGAAGAAGAACTCAAATGGAAACACAAACACAAATACATCTACTGGAAGAACTCAAATGGAAACACTTACACAAATACATCTGCTGGAAGAAGAACTCAAATGGAAACACACAAATACATCTGCTGGAAGAAGAACTCAAATGGAAACACACAAATACATCTGCTGGAAGAAGAACTCAAATGGAAACAC